GGGGGGGGGTAAATACAGCACGGCACCTCCTCAACACGAGTGTGCCGTGCTATAAAGTCATGGATACACTATGGCAAGTGTGTTATGGTAGTGGTATACGCACGCGCAAGCCTGGCAGCTGCCTGGGTTCAAACCCCAGCAGCCACAACTGCCTCCCAAATCTTGAAATATAGATATATCTGGGAGCGGGGCGGGGCAGCGTGGGCGCGTGCGTGTGCGTGATGCGGCGGCCTTGGCCTTGGCGCTAGATGCAGCTTCCTTTTTCGCCACGTGGAGCTCCCCTGCTGCAGCACCCGCACGCGTCGTGATGCAGCTTCATTTTTCGCCACATGGAGCTCCCCTGCTGCAGCACCTTTTTTCGTTGTTTTTCCCGCTTTTTCGCCCGAAAACGCCCCAAAAACAGCCAAAAACCCGACTGTCGGGTTTTGTCGTATTGTGTGGTGGGTGGGGGCGGGGACCGTTCCCGCTCCGATACCAATGTAGCAGACCCACCAGGTATGGTGCTCCGCTAGTGACAGAGATGGAGATGGAGGAAGAAGGAGGGAGCAAGGTGCACAGCGCAGCTCCCCACGCAGACTCCAACGCACGTACTCCAAAATGTGCAACTGAAGAATGAGGCTGAAAACAGACAATGGATGGGGTATACCCCAGCGGACTGACAGGACTGGACTGGACTGGCTGGTACCGACAGAGGTACCGGCCTGGACTGGCCTACCCCGAATACAACACAGGCCTGTGAGAACAGGCCAAGGGGCTGGTCTCACAGGCCAACCCGAGGTCCGCTACACCTGTAGTGTCAGAATCACCAGGACATATCTTAGTGCGGCGTTGATCTGGTCTCGCATGGTTCTATCACTAATCCATTACCTAATCATTACCATCGAGTCTCACATTGCCCAGGTTCGGTCAAGGCTTACATGCCAGGCGTCCATGATGTCCGGATCTCTCTCCGGAGTCACTTCATCTTCATCGTTGTCATGTGAGTTGCTTGTGCGTAGGATGGTCTGCTGCATCCGACTGGCGATCAGTCCCTTGATTGTCTTCTCTCTAGTCTCGTAGTCGATCTGCTCTTCATCGCATAGGCACTTTAGTTCCGCCATTGTCCTCGTTCGGAGGAAGCTCTTCATACTCATACAGTAGTCAACCACATTCATCTTCGATCCGTCCGTTGTGATTTCTTTCCATCCTGCCAGCAGCGTCTCATAGTCTACCACCGGGTTCTTCTTTGCCTGCGATCGTGTCCTTGGCGTGCGTGGTGTGGAAGGTTCCTCGATCCGGATTCCCAGGTTCGGTTGTCTAACCCGCTTCTGAGGTTGTGGTGGTCGCGCCGAAGAGGAAGGGGCGAATCGATCCTCTTCGTGGTCCATTTCCACGCGCGTCTGTTCCATTTCCATGCGCGTCTGTTCCGTTTCCATGCGCGTCTGTTCCATTTCCCACTCTATCTCTTGCTCCATAACCTTCTTCTTTGTGCGTGCTAGCTCTTTATCCTCCTTCAGTTTCCTTAGTTGCGCCAGCCTCCACCGTAGTTCTTCTTTCTCCTTTTCTGGGCTATCCTCCTTCGCCAGTTCCTTCTCTAAGTCCACTACTTCACTTCTCAGTTTTCCTATATCTTCGCATTGATTGTCTCTGATCTGCATCTTCGATCGCAGCTCTCCCATCTGGCCTAACAGTTTATCGTGCAGGGTCTTTAGTTGAGTGGTCATCGCTGTCATGAGCCTAGCATCTCGTATCTCCCCTTGCCTATCTAACTCACTCTTGAGTTGCCGGTGTAGCTCTTCCTCCCTTCTCTGCCTCTCCTCCTCCAATTTCTGCCTTTCCTCGATCTTCTCTCTCCTTTCTTTCCTTCGCTAGTTCTGAGCAGAGTTCTCTCATCCAGGTAATGTCCTCCATGTCCTTTTTCTGTTGCCATGTCAGGCCGCTATATCTGTAGTAGCTACCTCCGCTACCCTTATTCTGGCTACTATTCGTCGTCGCGCATGCGCGTTGCGGGCAATCTCGTGCAAAATGGTCGTCGTTTCTGCACGTGTAACACACCATCTTGCCCGTCTCTTCAACGTCCTACTACCTCCCTCCGGTTCCTGCTGTTCCCACTGCTCCCCACTTTCTTCCACCGTCTCTTCACATTATCCTCCTCTGTCGTTTCACGTCTAGCGACCACCTTCCTAGGTGTCTTTCCCAGTCGGTTATCACCCCACTCCTCTTACTTGGATAGTTCAAACACACAGCATGTACTCAAGCACACAGCGCGTTCTCATGCACAAAGATCACATGAAAGGAAAGAAGGACGAGCGATTGCGAGAAAGATGAATCGATAAGCTCGGTACAACAGCCCAAACCCTCTCTCCCGTCACATGTAAGCTCGTACATGGCACATTTGTGCCAGTCTCCACCTACAGTCCAGCGGCTTCCCCCTACGTCGCGTTTCGATCGGTTGCCAGCCGATCATCACCGTTCCTAGATATATTTCCTATTTATTTTCTAGTTCAGTTCTGCGTCAGTTCCTCCTCTGACACCCTTATCCGTCGGCATCGCGTCCTTCTACAATCATACAGTTCAGTCAGATCTGTGTCGGATCCCCCTTTTTTGTCATTTCGAGTAGATCCATGCCCCCCACCCGGTAGTCCCTCTTGGCCGGGTTACCGTAGTTCCACGCGGTGTTTTGTGGCACAGGTCGCGTGTTCGATCTCGTAGTCTGGTATATTCGCCACTTCCCAGGTTTCGTTACTGTGTCGCGGGTGGTCTCGAGTTCGAGCCCCTACTGGCAGCTCCATCCTTGCGTATCCATATGTCCGATCACACTCCTCTCTCTCTCTCTCTCTCTCTCTCTCTCTCTCTCTCTCTCTCTCTCTCTCTCTCTCTCTCTCTCTCTCTCTCTCTCTCTCTCTCTTGTGGCGACTTTTGCATCTGACAACTCCTTAGCCCAATGTATGTGTCCGTGGCCGTGTATCTTCCTATTTTCTTGCGGAAGATTCCTTCTCATTTTGCACATTGGCAGGCTGCTCAGTTGATGCACACATGAAAAAGAAAAGAAAAGAAAAAAAAAAGTGTGGCAGTGTATATTTCTATGGTGTGACCTGCTTCTGCCATTTCATTGACGCTTCAGACAGGTTTCGAACTGTGGTGTGCATTTGAATAATCGCGACACCGTTAGCATTGGCCGACCAGACGCCGAATTAGCAACTCCCCTGGCTTCCGAATTAGCACCTCTCATATCAATCTGCTCGCATCGAGCAACAAAGTATCACGTTCACCCCACCTGGTCTTCGTCTGCTTACCCACTGCACGTCCATCCCCACCATCCACAACTTGCTCTTTTCCCTTTCCCCGCACATGCGCCCCTGCAGCAGGCACATCCAACACTGCGCCGACAACAACGTCATGCACATTCGTCCCCATACCATGACCTGCACCAAGACCATTCGTGCCATTGTCTTCCTCATCCACCAAATTCTCCTCGTGAATGTTGATGTCGTCCGGGGACTCCGGGCCATTCCCCTCCACCCGCGTCTCATCATCATCTTCTGCAGCACTTGCGGTAGCGGACAGGCCACTGCGATGACCAGGACTGGAGACACCCTCGCTACTGGGCAATGCAACTCGGGGGACAAGTCCACCAGATCGCACACCCCCTTCACATCCTCCTTCGGCATTCGTAAAAAGAGCCGTCGCTTCCAGAGATGTACGACGCATTGTACGTGCATCACCCCCCACCATTGGCCGACCAGACGAAGGCAGTGAACCACATAAGCCGCTGACAGGCAAAACCACCTCGGTAATAGGACATGCACACGATGAGCTTGGTAGTGAACAGGATGTCACCGGTGCACAATCGCCAGCACCACACATGTCACGGTCAGAACGTCCTGATGATGTTCGTGGAGGTGAACTGCTGAAAGCAGCTGCAGAGGCCATGGGCGCAAGACCCGCACCATAGCATAGCGGACGAACTGCGGACACATGCTCTGCCAGCAGACAGACTGGAGCTGCAGGACTGACCTTGTGCACATATATACGGCGGACATTGAACACTCGTAGGTAGACATGGAAGGGATGCGGAGGATACAACATCGGGCGCAGCACCCATGACAGGCATCGAGTACACGGGTGGACATGATGTGTATGAAGAAGGCGGAGGCATCGGAGGAGTCGGCGCAGAACATGCAGCATGGAGAAGGTGAGAAGCACCAGACTCAGAAAGCGGTGGATAAGGGGGACATGAAGACCACACACCAAAATGCGGAGGTGGTGGTGAACCTACAGCATTGCAAGCAACGCCTTCAGTTCGGAGGGATTGTTTCTCTTATATGATCGCCGAGTGGAACCTCGACCTGCACCTGTAGCGGTACTCGAAGGAGCAGACTCCACAGCAACAGCGGCAGGTTGGCGCTGTCGTTTTTTATAAGGTCCTCGCTTATACGTTTTTCCTCCTGACTGCCTAGGTGTGGGAGGAGGAATACCCACAACAACGCCACCGATGTTCTCCTGCGCCACCACACCAGCCACTGCAGCTGAAGAACAATATGATGGTACCTGACCTAAACTATCGAGTGGGGCCGAAGAACTGCCAAGAAGACCTGAAACCGTCGTGTTTGCAAACCCGTTGTGCACTGAAAAAACAGTACACACTGCGTCGCTTGCATGGAGAGTTTGCAGGGGCCGACGCAACGAAGGCAGAGGAGAGAGAGAGGATGGCTGCAAATAGGGTGTGTGCACTGGCTGCATAATTGCTGGAGGGGCGGTGCAGAACATCACGTTGTGGGACTCCATCAGCTGTTGAACCGCATCAGACTGACTCGCCGCTGACTCCTGCAGACTGATCGTGCACGCTGGAGAAACCGTACGAGAAACTCTCCCCCCCATAGGACAGTCCTTTGTAAGGCTGTCAAAATCACAAGGCATGTGACCGGATGAATGAGAATCCATCACTACTCTGTGTGACTGGCGGACTTTGTGAATCGTCAAAGAGGGACGTCAATGTGAAAACGCTTATACCCTGACCCTTGAAAGGATGGACACCTGTGTGTCATTCAGTGTGTGTGTGTGTGCTGTCTCTTATACACATCTAGATGTGTATAAGAGACAGGTGTGTGTGTGTGTGTGTGTGTGTGTGTGTGTGTGTGCCCGTACTTCATGGCATTATCGAGTATTCAACTCTTAATGTATGTAGTCACAATAAATGAAAGAATTCATATACAAATGTAAGATCGTACTTCATGGCATATACACCCACGTGGCCTTCATCGCTGAAACATGGGGGCCTCACTCCAATACTGTCAACGTTCACACAAGACAAATAATATGCCAAATTGCCAAAGTATCTTTCCATAATCGCGCGGACAATTCAGCCTCATTCAGCACATTTGGAGAGTAGTTAGGCGAGGCCCACACAATACTTGGTCCTCAAAGGCTGCCACTTACCAAAAAAAAAAAAAAAAAAAAAAAAACGACACAAAAACAAGAAGAATTTCGAATGTTGGGTCGGCGGCTGACTCTGGAGAGCTGCTACACTGAAACCACGCTTTACTCTCATCGCCTCGCCTACCCTGCTAGGTCTCCGGGTTATGGTTGATGACTTGATGCCCGAAGAAAAGTGCCATAGCCACACCTCCTCCTTGATTGGGGGAGAGAGCGCCTTTGTGCTCAGGGACTATGGCATCCTGGCAGCCCTGCAGGGATTCATCAGTGATACCAAGTACACCATTTACACCAATCATCAACTACACTATCACGCAGCACTCGAAGGACTATGGGCAGGATGGCAGCAGCAGCAGCAGAAGCAGTGGGAGGGCTGTGATGACGGTGGGAGTGCTGTCTACAACTCCAATGGAACAGCGTGACTCGCCAGACCTGGTCGAAACAATGAAGAGTATCTGGCCGAAGTTTTGGCTTGATACACTCGCCAAATCTCAGAGGAGCAGGGGGGAATGCAACACAGAACTATTGGACACGACGTTGCTGCAGACAGTGGGAGAGTTTGCAGCTACGGTGGGAGCGTGTCTTCAGTTTCAAATATTTCGGGCTGCTCTGAATCTGTTCATAGTTGGAGCGAGAAGAGAATCTGGTGCTCTGAATTTGTCCTTGTTAGTAGGTTAGATTCATTGACTGCAGGCAGGTAGAGATAGAACTTTGTCTGCTCTCTCATGGGATAGAGTTCTCTCATTTTAGGTTGCTCTGTAATTGTCCATAGCTTTAGGGCACATTCACGAATGTTGGAAATTTCAATCCCATGCTCTTTATTTACCTCTGCCCCTAGGATAGATTCATTTATTCTTCACCTTTTACAGATTATACTTTGAAACAGATCTCCGGCACATCTGGCGTGTCTCTCCAGCTGTCTGACTGCCCGCAGCCTAAGTACTGTTGGAGCGGGAAGAGAATAGCCATGAGGGGTTTCAGAATATGCTCTGTGATGGCAATAAAAGCAGTCACCAACGGTTTTTGCCGCTCTGTGAAGTGGCCACTTGTGGACTGCCGCTCTGTTACTGTTTCTTTCCTCCTTAAGTTTCTGTTGTGACGTGTTTTTTGGCTTGAGAGAGAGAGAGAGAGAGAGAGAGAGAGAGAGAGA